TCAATCAATGAGTAAGTAATTCGACACTTACCCCGTCAGTGACCTATTTTATTCTTATATCTATTTGTGTCATCGAAAATTATTCAAATGAAATTTGGTAGTTTATAGTTTAAATTACAGATGAGATGCCCAAAACCATACTACTCTTAAGTAAAATGATAGTGATCTCTGACTGAAGAAACTAGGCAAATCCGCCACCATACGATGAAATTTGGTAGTTTATAGTTTAAATTACATATGAAATACCTTAAACCATACCCACAAGTAAAATGATAGTGATCTCTAACTGAAGCAACTAGGCAAATCCGGCACCATATGATGAAATTTGGTGGTTTATAGTTTAAATTACAGATGAAATACCTAAAACCATACTACTCTTGAGTAAAATGATAGTGATCTCTAACAGAGGCGACTAGGGAAATCTGGCACCATACGATGAAATTTGGTAGTTTATAGTTTAAATAACAGATGAAATACTTCTCTCCATACCCACAAGTAAAATGATAGTGATCTCTAACTGAAGCAACTAGGCAAATCCGGCACCATATGATGAAATTTGGTGGTTTTTAGTTTAAATTACAGATGAAATCCTTCTCTCATTTGAGTAAAATAATAGTGATCTCTAACTGAAGCATCTGAGCAAATCACTTCACGGTTTCCGAATGAATTCGAAATCAGTGTAAACAGTAAATTGTTTTCATAATTTTTATATTATCTTCTATCATAGGTATTACTAAATACAATTCACCAACATTTATAATTTTTATATGAATTATCGGACAACTTGTGGAAATAGTATGGAACAAGATATAAATGTTTGCTCTCATTAACAAACATTTGAATTATAAACTTCTTTCATGGGGATTTTGAAATTTACTCACTAAAACTCTGTACGTTAAAATATTTCTATGAATTGTTCTTTATTCTGATACTGGGTGTTACCAGAAAAGTCATAATTATTTGAAAACTAATTTTATTTTTTTGTAATCTTTGATTCACTGAAATAGTTCATTGTGTGTTCATCAGTTACTTGTAAGTTGATATTTTTGCGAATAAAATCCCAGTGTGTGAGTTGAATTCATGTTTGAAATAGAATTTTAGTGGAATGTATTTATTTTGTCCTTCAAAAATTAATACTCAACATTCATTTTCATTAATACAATTTTTTATAAAATAAATTTATTTGCTACCTCACAAAACTTTCACATTTCTGATATGTCAATTCGTTAATTCGGAATATAATTGATTAGTACATTAAATTTAAAATTGAATTTCATAACCGAAATTATTTATCGGAATTTACGGCCTCCACGTCAATAGCGCTACAACTGCTGTCCGTATTCTCCGCATTCTCCGGCACCATTTCGTTATTCTTATTATCATTATCCGCCATTTCTTCGGCGTGACACAATTTCCTGTGCTTGTGCACGAAGTAGTAGCTGGGGAATTTGCTCCCGCACGTTTTGCACGGGTAGTATTGCACGTTCATATCGAGCAGCTTCACTTCTCTCTTGGCCTCTTTCGGCACTCCTTTGGCCTCCAAGTTGACAGGATTCAGGTGCCGGCGAGCGTGTTTCTGGTAGCAGTATTTCGACTTGAACGTGTGGTTGCAATACAGGCACGTGAATAGTTCGCTGTTTTGATTTTCGTTCTCGTCGACGAGCTGATCGCGAATATTCTCGTTCATGACTTTGTTGAGCACGGCGTTCCTGTTGATCTCCTCTCGCTGGCAATTGTCCGAAGCGGGCGGTGGCACGCCGTAGTTTTTGTTGATGACCCTGTGGAATTTGACGGGACCGTCGCAGCANGTGAAGGTTCATAAATTTGCCCCAAAATTCACAGAATGAAATTCATACAGTATGTCGTGTATTATAATGAAAATTTGAATAAAATAGATTTTTCTGAAAAGTTTTGAATTCCTACAGTTCCTGGTTCGTGTGACAGTTACGATGTATGTGGTTTGCTTCTAAAAATCATTCAACCTATATACATCCGAGTATTATTATCTCTATAGTTTGAAAGAGTTTAAAAACGTCGGATTCCGGGTAGACCTGTTGGTTCTTTTTATTGATACCCTAAACACATATTACTTCTCTATAGTATCATCTGAGACATACCAATAGAGTTTGTGTAAGCCTTTTTAATATCACCGATATCAGTTCAATCCCTGTCATTCAGTTTCAAATTGTTCTGTATATCTCTGAAAACTATTTACCTGTATGATTTGACAAGGCTGCTTTGAAGAATCCACTGTGAGCGGCCAAAACGGCCTTGTGGGCGGAAAACTGCGTGAGTCCGGGTCCTACTTGGAGAGCGACGTCTGGTACCGCCGGCATTTGGGGCGGTACGCTCAGATTCATAGGCGTAGGTGTCGCTAGGGTGGGCGGCAAGGGGGGCAAGCCCCCGCAGGGGCCTAGCGATAGCCAGGCTCGGTAGAGGGAGTACATTGCAGGGCTGTCCTGAAATTATGACTGATTCAATTTTTTTTTTTTTTTTTTTTTTTT